ATAAAGATGTGAAAAGTTTCTATTTTTATCCGTGATGACGTGGCTCAGCCTTACACAGATAACCATGGAAAGTGAAACATTTGTCGTTGATAACCAAAGAGAACAAATCGCAGCCCATTAAGAAAAACCGTATACGAACGACACAAACAAAATAAACTGAAATGTACAAATACTTCATGCATACACATCCACCCACCTTCTTCTTAGAAATATAGAAATATTGATACATTTGGCATAAAAAAGTGACCCTCAAAATTAGTGACTCACCCCTCGGGACAGTCCAAGGGCTCAGAGGAGTGGATCAGATCGCCTGTGCCTTCAGGGTCGCTGCAGTAGTAATAGCGGAAGCAGTTAGTAGGATCAGGGACCTTGTCACCTTCTCTCATTTCCGCGCAGTCGGGAAAGCATAACTTGCCGTGGCAGAAGCCCTAAGAAAAAAAAAAATTGTTAGGATTGCACTTGTCAGTTTTTATTTACAGATTATCATTATTCGCATTAGTGAATTTACGTGGTCCACAGATTTATGGGAGATTTACGCGCATTGCGATTGGTCTTGTAAACCATTTCGTCTTGATGGTTAGTATTTGTCATGAAAACTGTCTGCAGATATGTAAGTTTGTATTTATTCACTATTTATTTATTTATCTTCTATTTTATTATCATTATTTTTTAATCGTAAAACATATTAGCAAGACCTTTGTGCATGCTTGACTACATGCAAATCTAGCGAATCAAATCTGTATTCAAAGAAGACATGTCCAAACCATCACCGATTTTCACCGAACCTCTAAAACACTGTCTTTCCATAATTTTCTAGTCCCTGGAGAAGTATCAAATACAACTGTATCATAAATTTTATCAATGGTTTCGTGGTTCATTGCAGGCTTCCAGAAAATAAGAGGCTGTAAAAAACCAACAACAACAAAAAAAAACGACAAAGGTTACGATAGAGTCTAGAATAACAATGCATAAATTGTATGGCAGTGTATTATCCATAATCTAAGTAATAGTGTATATTTTAACCAATACCTAGAGAGTTTGGTTTAAACGCAACAGAGAAGCGACCGAGAAGAAACTTTTCTTTCCCTGATAACATATCTGATTATCAAAGGGAAATTAGGCCGCTTTCATACCAATGGCAGCTGGCAAGTGACACGTGGCACGGCGAATTCAAGCCAAGGTTTCACGTGGCGCGTGTCATTCGGTTCACAATATGGCATTAACGGTGGTTGACGATGTTATTCTTGTTCAAAGTCCTAAGTAATCTTGTGACCATTTACTGTCACGTGGAGGAATACAGCGGAGGATTTTCGGGCAGAATGCGAATCAAACTTGTTCCAATACCCTGAAAATATTTGTAAGGATTTTTCTTTTCTCGCAAACCATTTTGATAACTACCGAGGAGAGTATTGTTACTGTCCTGAGGTATTGCTGTATCCTACAAACTGCTGTATTTCTCCTCAGTCTTGCACAAATGTTATGTTGATTGTTTCACTGGGTGACCGAAGCAGTGTTATCAAATGTGTTCGGCGGAAATATGCCCAGACACTACTCAATGTATATTATATAGCAATAAGATCTCCGTTTTATAACTTGTTATTTGATTTAAACATTTATTCCATTAACTAATAATAACTTTGGATGTAAGAGCTCTATTAAAATATGACACTTTCCAAGGTGGCAGTTCACACGGAGAACAAAAAAAAAAAAAAATAAAAAAAAAACCGGACAAGTTCACGCCACTTCTGTGTGAAAGGTTTCATGCTTCCGTGTGCGACGTGCTACCTTGATGTGAAAGCCATATATGCTCAAACAGGAGACTTTTTCATGTCAGCGAGAGGGAGGTAGGAGGGGCATTGTGCCCAATACCTCGTTTCATGAAAGCACACTGGATTTCAGAAGGCAATGGAAAACATACAATCTTGATCAGGTTTACGTAGGTAACGGCAGCGTTAGCTACATCAACCTTGGCGTGGTTGATATCAGTTATTTGCAGAAATACAAACACACCTGTTTGATGATTATGACATTCAACACTGACAATTATTTTTCTGGAGATTACCATTGCTTGTTTTGCTTGGCAAGATCGAAAACTTCAATTCCATACTGTTGTTTACATAGATGTGATTATGCATGCCAAAAGTGGGGAAATATCAACGTCTCTCTGAAACTGAACGCAACCCCCCCCCTCTCGTAAACTGCGCCCTTACTCAATCATAACAACCGTAAACAGATGATGGCAGTTTGAATCCACCAATGTCCCTTGACAACAGCTATCCTCAGCGTGACCTCTTCAATTCACCATCCCCACTTCCGCAATGACTGTCCGAACCGAACCCAGATTTACCCCATCCTAAATCTTGGTAAACTCACCAAACCCACGGCGACAAAAGTAAATGCTAGTCTCCAAACCGAAGCCATCTCCAGTGCAATGTGTCTGGATAATTGGCTCCCATCCCGGTTTATAAACGACCACGTTCGGGAAACGCCATATGCTCAGTTCTCAGGCGAATCCCAGATAAGTGTCGCAACATCCTCGTCAGTTGCATTCTATTTATTTCTTATTATTTTGAGAGGATAAGGATGTTATTTGTTTATTTTAATGTTGTCTTGGCATGTTCACTTTGATGTTGATATAAGTCTGTTACTATAATTGGTGGTTATCTAATGATTAGTACTGGCACTATAAGATTTACGTCTGTTTTTTATACAATGCTTATTACCCATCATAAGTAAAAAGATCGTATTTATATTTAAAAAGAAAGAAAAAGAACAGAAAGAAAGAAAATGTGTATGTATATACATTTATATATACATGAATCTAATTATATATATACACTATCTATCTATATATCTATCTATCTATTTATCTATCTATCTATCTATCTATCTATAAATACATACATATATATGTATATGTATATATGTGCACAACACCACACACACACACACACACACACACACAACACACACACACACACACACACACACATATTATATATATATATATATATATATATTATTATAATAGAGAGAGAGAGAGAGAGAGGAGAGAGAGAGAGAGAGAGAGAGAGAGAGGAGAGAGAGAGAGAGATGAGAGAGAGACTTTTTGACTTAGAGAGTTTACACATACATTTCATAGGGATGATGTAATTTGGGTTATCCATACCCGTATCTTAAGAAGTTTCAGCGTGGACTCACATTTCTTAGAAAGATACATACAGTATTTGGGTATAAATATAGATGGATGGACACACACACAGCCACACACACACACACAAAGGAGCATAATGCAAAGAATGAGAGAGAGAGAGAGAGAGAGAGAGAGAGAGAGAGAGAGAGAGAGAGAGAGAGAGAGAGAGAGAAGAGAGAGAGAGAGAGAGAGAGAGAGAGAGAGAGAGAGAGAGAGAGAGATCCTCGCTCATAAATGACGAGTAAATCGGGCTACAAAAAAGTGATAACAATAGCATCTGAGCAAGAGAAACTGGAAGCCAATATACAAGACTCGAGTGGGAAAATTCACTCACGTCAGAACTCGATACGGAAACGAGGTTTGGCCGCTGGTGACGAACGGGACCAGATGGCGAATCACACGGAGGCGCTCTTGCCGTTCTGGCACCACTGTCATTTCCTACTTGATATCTCTCGCAAGGTCAATCTGGAGGGCTTGTATTTCCTTGGTTAAAAGAGATAACAATGGTTTTTGTGTGTGTGTATGTGTGTTCTTACCTAGTTGTTTCAATACGGGAGAAGAGCTAAGCTCAGGTAGTCCCGCCTGCTATATTTAATTTAGCTTTTTAAATTGATGCACATTTTTGGCACACACTACGTTTTGGGCGAGACTGTTCCATGCTTCAATAGTTCTGATTGAGAAACAATTTTTGACATCTTTATCACCTCTTTTGACTTTCAACTTTTTGTTGTGTCCTCTCGTCCTTCTTGTGTTCAAGATTAAAAAGTCCTCTGTATCTATCTTCACTCTTCCTGTAATATAAATGAACAGCATAATCATGCCCCTCCCCCTTTTCCATGTTTCTTCCAAGGTAGTAAGTCCTAATTCTGTAGTCTGTCTTCGTAACTCAAATCTCAGAGTAGGTGCCCGTCTTGTGGCCGCTCTTTGAACTCCTTCTCGTTTGTCAATATCCTTTTTTAAGTGTGGACTCCATACCACTGCACCGTACTCAAGTCTTGGTCTTATGGTTGCTATAATGATCTTTACCATATCTTCGTCCATATACACGAATGCCCTCTCAATGTTGGCAAACAGTCCTAGCATTTTGCGGACTTTTTCATTTATATGATCATTTGGGTTTAGGTTTCTATTTATGAGTATCACAAGATTTTTTTTTTTTCCTGTCAGCTGTGTTTAATATTGCGTCTCCTAATTCATATTGGAACTGTGGGCGATTTCTACTACTTCGTGGCATTTATTGGTATTGAATTCCAGTTTACATTTACAACTCCACGTGAATAAGTTCTCGATGTCACTTTGGAGGCATTGGCATGAGACGTTTTCTGTTATCCTTTTTTGCATCTTCGCGTCATCTGCAAACATATTCAGATAACTACTTGGGCTTATGTTCGACTCTAAATCTTTGACGAAAATAGTAAACATAATCGGCGCCAACACCGATCCTTGAGGCACTCCGCTGGTTACTCGTCGCCATGTAGAATGCTTTCCTCTAATTACTGTGCTCATTTGTCTTTCATCCATATTAGAGCACCTAGGTGCTCTAATTCCCATGGTAGTCTTCTGAGACACCTTATCAAAAGCCTTTTTAAAGTCCAAGTACACACAATCCACCCAGCCGTCTCTTTCTTGTAATATTTCAGATACTCTTATAAAAAAAAAGGGTAGATTTGTTACACATAACCTTCCTTCTCTAAAACCACAATTTTTCTTATATCATTTCATGTTTTTCAAGTATTCCAACCCATTGTTTCCTAATTATCCTTGCTTGCAGCTTGCATACTACACTATTAATGAAACTGGTCTATAATTTAGTGGGTTTTGTTCGTCGCCGCTCTTACATAAGGGTATAACATAGGCGAGTTTCCAACTATTGGTAGTTTACCTTGTCTCACTGAATTTTGGAATATTAACAATAAAGGAGCACATCGTTCTTCGGCACATTCCCAGTTAGAAATTTCATCTGGTCCCTCTGCTTTGGTCTTGTCTAATCCTTTTAGTAGATTTTTCATTTCATTCTTTTTGAGGGTAATATTTTCGATGTTCTTTACGTTTGTACGGGTATTTACCATATTAAAGTATGGATCCTGAACAAACTCTGAATGAAATTTCTTATTTAGGATTTCACACATTTCTTCCTTATAATAAATAATGTTGTCTTTCGTGGCGCTAATTTGATCACTACTCTTAGTTTTACTATTTATGTAGTTAAAGAAGACTTTTGGTTGACTTGTACATTTGTTGATTATATCCTCTTCAGTCTAATTTCGCCTCTCATGGTTTGGGTATGCTCATTTCTTCCAACTTTATATCTTTCATAAGCTGCCTGAGATCTATGTCTTCTGAATCTTTTCCAAAGGAGCTGTTTGTTTTCTCTCATTTTCTTGCATTTGTCATTGAACCATTTTTGGCCATTTCTTGCTTCAATTTTGAATTTTGATACGATTTTTTCCACAAAATTTTGAACACTGAACATCAAGGCTCTCATCTCATGAAAAGGAATCAGTCACAATGGGAAATAAAATTGAATCATGACATCTCGGAATCATCAGGAGTTGCTCACGATAAAGAAAACTAAATACAGTTGATATTTGTATCTTCAATATTCAATTTATATGTTACTTGTTTCCTTTTCATATATAAACACATATATGTTATACATAAATATATATATAAATATATATATGTACATATATACATTAATATTCGCGCGCGCGTGTTTGTGCATATACATGTATGTGTATGCATTCATATTCAAATGGCCAAAAAACACGCCCTGTCGTAAATTCAACTTCTCAGCTAGAATGCATCTAAAAAAAATGGAATTAAACATTCTTTGAAGTCATGGCTTCATAGTATACTATTCATGAGCACTCGCCCGCCTAGCAAACTTGGAAAACAATATTTTCCTAAAGACTCCTTTGGAAGTAGGTCGTTCGTGTCGTTTGGACTTCATACCTCCAATTGTTTTTCAGTAATCCAGCTGCTGAAATTGTCACTACATTGGTGAATTGAATTGCCTCCAACACAAAGTGCTCTTTGTCTTGGGGAGCTTCTTGGCGGGATAGAAAGATTGGCGAATCTTTCATTTTCGAGCGATGTGGATTTATAGCAGTTCGCGCGTGTTTTGGTCTTACACAATTAGCTGTTGTCCATTCCTTTTGGGTCGCTGTTTGGAATCCGGGAAGTTGTCGGGGTGGGTCACTAACCAAAAATCCACCTGTAGGGAAGTTGGTTTGCCAGCATGATTTCCAGACCGAATTTATGCCAAAGCTGTGAGCGGTGTTATAAATAGGTTCTCGATCTCGCCTTCAAGAGCACGGGGATACTGCCAGCAAGGGACAAGAAATTCATTCTTACTAAAGAATCTCCCAGTCAGGACCACAAACCTCTTGCAGTTCATAGGCCTATCCCTCTACCAAGTATACCTTTGATACAATCGTAGAGGAATAGTAGACATAACTGGATACCACATTTATCCTAACTGAACTGGAGGACTGCTCTCTGTATTGCCCAAGAATACTATTATGGTTTAGTAGCCTCTGTCACCGTATCAAAAATTGTCTTGAGTAAATAAGCAGAGCCTCGATCCGGCCAGTTATGGTCCACGGCGGTCGACACGAAAGCGAAGACTACCAATGACTGTAGACTGTAAACGTTCTATTCTTTCGTGTGTCGTGTTTAACTAGAGCTATTCAAAGTCAGCGTTTTGTTTTTATTATACAACTTGAAGGCAGAGTAAGCATTTGTTGATTGATGAGTTATGTCATAGACATCTTAAGTACTTGGATTTTTTTTCGAAGAAAACAGATGAATAGTATCCCATGCACTTGTCAGACTGAATGCTTGATTGTATGGATGCTTCGTATCATGTACATTGATTACGAAGCCTGTGTGTATGTCATAAAAAAGTATATCGTTTTCGGACACACACACACACACACACACACACACACACACACACACACACACACACACACACACACACACACACACACACACACACACACACACACACACACACACACACACACACACACACATCACTTCTCTCTCTCTCTCTCTCTCTCTCTCTCTCTCTCTCTATATATATATATATATATATATATATATATATATATATATATAATATATATACACACACACACAACACACACACACACACACACACACACACACACACACACACACACACACACACACACACACACACACACACATATATATATATATATATATATATATATATATATATATATATATATATATATATATATATATATATATATGATACATGCATACGCACAATC